TATTGTTTTTGCCTTTGGGGTCTTAGTCATAAATTCTTTGCTGAAGCCATTCTCTAGAAGAGTTTTCTTCTAGAATTTTTATGATTCTCTGCCTTACATTTAAATCTTTTATCCATCTTGAATTAATTTTTGGATATGGTGAGAGGTAGGAGTCCTGTTTCAATATTCTGCATGTGGCTATTTCTCCAGAACCATTTATTGAATAGGGCTTCCTTTCCGCAATGTATGTTGTTGTCTGCTTTGTTGAAGATCAGTTTGGTTATAGGTAGATGGTTTTTATTTCTGGGTTCTGTATTCTATTTCATTGGTCTATGTCTCACTTTCATACCAGTACCATGCTGTTTTGGTTACTATAGCCTTGTAGTACAATTTGAAGTCAACTAATGTGATGCCTCCAGATTTGTTCTTTTTGCTTAAGATTGTTTTGGCTATTCAGATTGTTTTTTGGTTCTAAATGAAGCTTAGGATTATTTTTTCTATATCTATAAAATATGACATTGGTATTTTGCTGGTTTGCATTGAGTCTGTAAGCCACATGGGGCAGTGTGGATGTGTTTATGATGTTGATTCTACCAATCCATGTGCAAGGGATGTTTTTGACATCTATGATTTATTTCATCAGTGTTTTTTAGTTCTCCTTGTAGAGATCTTTCACCTTCTTGATTAAATATATTCCTAAGTATTATATTTTCTTTGTAGCTGTTATGAATGATATTGAGTCCTTGATTTGACTCTCACTTTGACTATTATTAGTATATAGAAATGCCAATTTGTATACATTGATTTTGTAACCTGAAATTTTGCTGAATTTATTTATCAATTCCAGGAATTTTTTGATGGAGTCTCTAGAGTTTTCTAGAAACAAGATTATATCATCAGCAAACAGGAATAGTTTGACCTCCTCTTTCCTGATTTGGATGCCCTTCATTTCTTTCTCTTGCCCGATTGCTCTGGTTAAGCCTTCCAATACTATGTTGAATAGAAATGGTGACAGTGGGTATTCTTGTCTTGTTCTGGTTCTTAGGGGGAATGCTTTCAATTTTCCCCTTTCTGTATTGTGTTGGCTGTGGCTTTGTCATATATGTTTTTTGTAATTTTGAGGTATATTCCTTCTAAGCCTAGATTCTTGAGCATTTTTATCATGAAAGGGTGCTAGGTTTTATTGAATGCTTTTGCTCCATCTATTGAGATGATCAAAGAAATAAACAGCAGTACCTTAATTGTCAGTGACTTCAACACACCACTGATGCACTAGACAGATGATTGAAGCAGAAAATGAAGAAAGAACCACTGGACTTAAACAGGACTCTAGAACAAATGGACTTAACAGACATTAACAGAACATTCTACCCAAAAACTACTGAATATGCATTACTCTCATCAGTACATGTGACATTTTCCAAGACTGATCATATCTTAGTCCACAAAATAAGTCTCAGCAAATTCAAAAAAATCAAATTCGTACCATGTATCTTCTCAGATCACAGCAGAATAAAACTAGAAATCAATTCCAAGAGAAACACTCAAATCTACACAAAGTCATGGAAATTAAAAAACCTGCTGCTGAATGATCCTTGGATCAATGATGAAATTAAGATGGAAATCAAAAGATTCCTTGAAAAGAATGAAAAAAGGAACATGAGCTTTCAAAATGTATGGGATAAAACAAAAGCAGTCCTGAGGGGGAAGTTCATAGCTTTAAATGCCTACATCAAAAAGACAGAAAGATCACAAATTAGCAACCTGCTTCTGAATGATCCTTAGGTTAGTGATGAAATCAAGAGAGAAATAAAAAAAATTTTGAATTGAATGACAAAGATGACACAAGCTTCCAAAAATCTATGGAATATAGACAAAGCAGTGCTTAGAGAGAAGTTCATAACTTTAAATGTTTATATCAATAAGCAAGAAAGATCACAGATTAAGAACCTAATGGTTCCTTTCTTTCAAGGAACTAGAAAAAGAAGAACAAACCAAACCCAAAGCCAGCAGAAGATAAGAAATAACAAAGCCCAGAGGAGAAATGGAAACCAAAAGAAAAAAAAATTCAAAGGATCAATGAAACAAAAAGTTGAAAAGATAAGCAAAATTGATAGACCACTAGCCAGATTAACCAGAAATAGAAGAGAAAGGGTTCAAATAACCTCAATCAGAAATGACAAAGGAGACATTACAACTCACGCTACAGAAATACAAAATTTCATCTGTGAATACTACAAAAACCTCTACATAAATAAACTGGAAAACTTGGAGGAAATGGATAAATTCCTGGAAACACACAATATCCCAAGCCTGAATCAGGAAGAAATAGAAATCCTGAACAGATCAATAATAAGCAGCAATTTTTTGATACAAAATATCTCAACAGAAAAATCCCTGGACCAGATGGATTCACAGCTGAATTCTACCAGACGTACAAAGAAGAACTGGTACCTATCCTGCAGAAACTATTCCATAACATCGAGAGGGAGGTTATCCTCCTGAATTCATTCTATGAAACCAGTATCACCTTGATACCAAAGTCAGGAAAAGATATAACAAAAAAAAAGAAAACTACAGACCAATATCTTTTATAAACATAGATGCAAAAATCCTCAACAAAATACTAAAAAATCAAATTTAACAGCACATCAAAAAGACAATCCACCATGATCAAGTGGGTTTCATCCCAGGGATGCACGTATGGTTCAACATACACAAAACAATAAACATGATCACCACATAAACAGAAACAAAAACCTGAGGCTGGTCTACAAAGTCTTCCTTCTCAGACTTACAAAATGTAGTGGTATAGTCTGTGTGTGTGTGCTTGCACACGTGTGTTTACTTTTCCATAGAAGGAACAATACGTAAGATAGATTTTTCTTGTGCTAGCATTATTGGCTCCAGGTCCCCTGTCTTCCAGCTAAAATTGCATCCTCCAGGCAGAATAATCAACTAGATAAGAATGTAAGCGTTGGCTTTAGACACTTCTGAGTAATAATCCTGGCTTCTTTATTAACATTGTCCTCTAGCAAGTTAGTTAACCTTTCTGAATCTCAGTTTCTGCATCTCTAAACTAGAGAAACAACACCTACACTGTAGGGTTGATGTGAAGATTACATCTAAAGAGCTTAGAAAATTCTGGCACATAGTAAAGGAATATAGTAAATATTAGCTGTCGTTCCTTTTTCTTAACTTTATAAAGCCCCAACCACACAGAAAAATATCACATCAGAGTCTTTAAAATTAAAAAAAGTACATTTTAGGTAAACTGATACCTCTCAGTTTGTTCTTTTTACTTAGTATTGCTTTGGCTATACGAGGTCTTTTCTGGTTCCATACAAAGCGCAGAATTATTTTTTCCAGATCTGTGAAGAATGATAATGGGATTTTGATAGGGATTGCATTAATTCTGTAGATCACTTTAGGTAGTAAGGACATTTTAACGATATTGATTCTACCAATCCATGAGCAAGGTAGGTTTTTCCATCTGTTTACATCTTCTACAATTTCTTTTTTTAGTGTTTCATAGTTCTCCCTGTATAAGTCTCTTACATCTTTCGTTAAATATATTCCTAGATATTTAATTTTCTTTGAGGCTATTGTAAAAGGAATTGCCTTTTTGATTTGATCTTCTGCTTGACTGTTGTTGGCATATATGAATGCCTCAGATTTGTGTGTATTGATTTTGTAGCCTGAGACTTTGCTGAATTCATTTATCAGTTCTAGGAGTCTCTTAGATGAGTCTTTGGGGTTTTCTAGATATAATATCATATCATCGGCAAAGAGCGAGAGTTTGATCTCATCTGTCCCCATTTGGACACCCTTAATATCCCTCTCTTGCCTAATTGCTGTGGCGAGGATTTCGAGCACTATGTTGAATAGAAGTGGAGATAGAGGGCAGCCTTGTCTGGTTCCGGTTCTAAGTGGGAATGGTTTCAATTTTTCCCCATTCAATATGATATTGGCAGTGGGTTTGTCATAGATGGACTTGATAATTTTAAGGAATGAGCCGTCTATACCTATTTTGATGAGTTTTTATCATAAAGGTGTGTTGGACTTTGTCAAATGCTTTTTCTGCATCTATCGAAAGAATCATATGGTCTTTGTTCTTGCTTTTATTTATGTGGCGAATTGTATTTATAGATTTGCGTGTGTTAAACCAGCCTTGCATCCCTGGAATAAAGCCCACCTGGTCATGGTGAATTAAGACGAACATTCAGAGTACAGTAATTACAACAATCGCATTGTTACTCTTGGTCCATGTTTAGCAAATTTTAAGTGTGATCTGTGATTTATCGTTGTTTTATTTAGTTTGCTCTTAAATTTCTTTGACTAATTCTGCAGCTTCTCCATGAGTCTGGATCTGCAAAATGAATATGCTTTGCTTACATCAATCTCTCCAAATGCACTATAAGTTTATGGTCTCCTGTGTTTATAACGCTTATCCCCGATGTCAGTGCATCCCTGACTCTCTTTGCCTCAGAGAATAGCATTAGGAGGATGACATGGTACTCCAGGATCTGCTTGTGAAAAAGCAAGTGTGCTCCTCATGTTTTATTCTTAATGCCAAAATATCAAATTCTCTTCTGTGTGGATACTGAGAGGCCTCCCCAAATTAGACCCATGGGCCACCTGCTCAAATCTACTACTTATTGAATCATTTTAGGTAAAGATGTATAAATTCGAGTAGCAGTTGGAAGAGAATCTCATTCAATTTCAGCCTGCCCTTAGAGAGTTTATTTCCTTGGAAATGTCTGTGTCTCAACCGAGATTTAAGTGCATGACTTTAAATTCATTTTTCCATAATAGATATTAACCCCTATTTGTAGCCTGCCCCAGGGATGAAGAAACCACAGAAACTAACATTCTAGCAAGATACAAAGTCAACAAAATCAGTTACAGATGCATAAAGAAATTCACTGTACTCTGTGAATTGTTTCATTAACAAGGTTGGGCACTTCAGGAAAGGTAGGGAATTGCTCCTCATAGCCTGTGATGAGATTTACCCAGCTCACCTGTCACCTGGTTGGCGAACTGCCTTCTGAGAAACTGCTAGAAAAGGGAAAAACAAAAGTAAGGAGAAAATTTCATTACTCATTTTAAAGGTGCAGTGGGTGCTGTGTTATTTGGTCTCTCTATACATTTTTGTTATTGTTTAAATGAGATAAAGGGCTATGTAAAAGACCATACAAGAATGAAGTGTTACAATTATTTCCACAAATTAAGATGAAGACTGGAGCGTTGAGATGTGTAACTGCATTTTCACTGAAGCTGTTGGCAGATTCTCTCGGAAGCAGCAACGGCTACGACACACATGTCAGCACACATTGCCCGTAAACAAGGAAGGCCTGCCTCAGAGTGGGGTTGAGGGAATTGATGCCTCACTTGAGTGCTTTGAGAGGCCAAGATCAAAAGCACTTTTAAGCATATCATATAATTATCATCATTAAGAAGCATGAGGCGAGGAGTCCTAAACTCCCAAATTTTCAAAGCAACAAAAGCAGCACAGCTTTAATGGGACTTTGAAGTCAGATAAATCTCCAGGTATTTTCATTATAGAAACTCACAACTAATTAAGGAAAACCCTATCTGGGCCAGTGTTTAATTATGTTTGCTTGTCCGCCTGTGTCATGTACTGTGTTCTGAAAGTAGAAGGGTGTCAATTGGATTGTACCAAAAGGCTGTGCTGGGACCAACAAACAGCGTTCATTTTGAACAAAGCATGGCATAGCAAGGTTTTGATCTCTTTTGTCTAAATAAATAAGTTCTTAATAAGCATAGATTATTTTCTTAATAGTCCACATAGTCCAAAGTTTAGCTAGAAATTTCTCTGCAATAATAACGCCTATTTTATATTATAAGGCAACATATTGAACCATCTACATAGGAAGATGCTGGAAAAATTCTGACTTATTATAAAATAAAGACAAATGGCACTCAATACCAAGAGAGGCTGTTTATATCAAAGGTAGACCAGAACTACTAACTAGTGACCCAAGAGTTAGATCTCACCTAAAGACATTTTTCCTTTGGCACATATAAAATGGCCCACATTGTGATTTTTCTAAAAATTTAAAATCACGGACAGCAGTTAAAAATTAGGAAGTATCCCATAATATCTGGATTTCTGGTACATCTTGAAAAATTGAAAGGTCTGATAACACTGGCCCCCTTTGGCAACCATGCCCCAGTTTTGTCTAAGGAGAAGGGTTGGCCAATTTCCCGCCAAACTGATTATGATGAATGGATAAGCAAAACGTGGCACATCCATACAATGTATTATTCAGCCACAAAAAGGAAAGCAGTGCCCACACATGCTGCAACTTGGATGAACCTTGGAAACATTATGCTCTGTGAAAGCTGACAAACACAATGGCCACATGTTATACGATTCCATTTATATGAAATATCCAATTAGGCAAATCCATAGAGACAGAAATCAGATTTGTGGTTGCCAGGGGCTGAGGGGAAATGGGAGCGACTGCTTAGTGAACACGGGGTTTGATTTCGGTGTGACAAAAATGTCCCGAAACTAGGTAGTGGTGGTGGCTGCACAACATTGTGAATGTATGTCGTGGCGCTGCACTGTATGCTCTAAAATGGTTCAAACGGCAAGCATTTGTTATTTGTGTTTTATCTTAATTTTTAAAAAAGCAAATCACAAACTCCTTGCCTCTGTCGCGCGAGGATATGGAGAAAAAGCGGTTGATACGGCAGAGCTCGTATGCCCTCCCGGGCAGCATGGCCCCCTTTGTTGGTGTCAGTGGAGGAGACAATGCTTCCCAGATGCTCCCAGACACCTACCTGCTCCATTTGTAGGGTGGCAAAAATTTCAACAAACATCTTACCATGCAGCCATGGCCTAAGCTTTGCTTCCAGCAGCGCATCCGTCAGTACTCGCAGGCGGCTGATTTCTGTGGTAAAAACCCACTTTATCACACAGGGCTTCCCTCAGGCCCTCAGATAGCATTATTTGTGGAAGACATCTTGGACCTGTCCCTCCAGGTCGGCTGCTGGAAAGTATCCCAAATTCCCTATGCCATCCCTAACCGAGCCAGGGTCATGTAATCTCAGCGGAAGGGGTCCCCCAGCTCTGAGTTGGAACCATTTACATTTTTCCTTCCTCCAAAAAAGGAGGAGCCCCCAAATGATGAAATTACAATAAAGTATCATTTATAAGCATTTACTATGTGCCTGGCAGTGTTCTAGGTACTTTACACAGGTTTACTCATTTAGTATTCAAAACAACCCTGAGAGATGGTTTTATAGATGAGACGAAAAAGGCCCAGCCCTTCAGTAACTCGCCAATGCCCTTCAGCTGCCCAGTCCAGAAGGTGAGATGCAAACCCAGGGAGCCCGTCTCCAGCCCCAGTAGCCAAAATACTATGCCCTTCAGCCTTTATAAAACAATGAGTCTTTGGCTACCCCAGCAGAACAAAGCCTAAAAGTCTTACCAGGTATTCTCTGAACTTCTCCTGGGGAGGTAAGAAGAGCTGCAGTGGGACCTCACGTGGCTGGTAGGGAGAGTGGTAGTGAGCCTGGAGGGTGGACAGCCACCTGCAGAGCACTCACTCCCATGGCCGTAGCCCCTGGGTCAGGGACTCGTGCTCTGACAGTGGTGTGCCCCTGAACCGGAAGGCTTTGCATGTCCTCCAACCTCGGAGTGTCTTGGCTACCTTATAAGATCCAGTCTGCACGCCTGGGTTGGAAGAAAACCATGTCTCCACAGGGCTCCTGGTGTCATTGGCGGAATGAATTTACAAGGACCTGCACTGTGGCCACCAGAACAACATTCGTGAAGCACATTCTATCTTGCTACACTCCCCCCTTTCCCAGCCCATCCTCTGCACTACTTACAAAGTGACTTTTCGAAATGGAAAAATGATTATGTCAAACTGTCAAACTGTTCCTAGGTGTCCTTCACTGGACCGCATCTCATGAACGTCCCCAGTGTAACCAGCCCTCAAGGCCCGTTGACTTACCACCAAACACTGTAGGCACCGTCCTGCTCCTCCTTTCCCACTGCCTTGCTGCTTCGTAGCACGCTGAGCTGTCCCTTCAATGTCCCCAGGCACCGACACCTCCCAAAGAGCACCCATTCCATGTGAAGAGCTGTGCCAGGCACTGGGAATGCCACGGGACACAGTCCCTTCTCTGGAGGGCACGATAACAGGGGAGAAAGACCCACAGACAAAAATACAGCACACACTATGGAAGGAAAGAGGAGGCCATTCTGTAGGGAAGAAAGAGAGGTAGCCCTGCCTGGAGCTCAGAGGGGACATCACACAGGAGGTGGCTCTTCCATTACCTTCTGATTATTCACTGCTGTATTCACCGAAAACACAGAATACTTAACCTTCGCAAAAGGCCTTTTTTCTTATAAAATGCTTTCAAATACTCAAGCATACTAAAAAGAACTTCCAGCACTGCTTAATATTTCCAAGGCTATTTTTATTTTACTTTATTTTACTTCTCTTCATTTTTATTTTTAATTTTCCTGCTGGCTTGGGAATCAGAGAAGCTTAGCTCTGAATCTCTCTTCTTCCATTTACCAGCCCTGTTTCTTAGAAAAATGACCCAAATTCCATAATTCTCAGTGTCCTCATCTATATAATAGATTTGATAATGCCCACCTCACTTGGTTGTCTGGATTTAGTAAGATAATGTAAATAATGTGCTAATCATAGGGTTGGACACATGTCAGGGCACACCATGGCAAGACATATGTCAGGGTGGTAGCTGCTATGTTTACTGTTAGTACTCTTCAAAATCCAGGCTGGGACACAAATCCCATGCTTAACTCCATTCCAATTACAGTAGGATCTTGTGAAAATAATTTCCTTTATTTATACTCCAGATACTTAGAAATGAATGTACTCATTTCTAATACAGTGCTAAGTGATTCAGCTGATTTTAAAAGCTGCTTTCCAGAACCTATACAAAGTGTACCCTTGTTAAATATTCCATTGTATCTTTATTTTAGCTACACCAACCAAACCCTTCATAATAAATTTATGTCATAATATGATACCACAAAAGAATCGCCCAGAAGAATATTCCATGACCACTAAACAGTTTTAATGTTGAAAGAAATGAAAGAAAAATAAAAACAATAAGAAACAAATTCCAAAAACCTAAAACATATCTATACAATGTTATTTTAGGGCCAAGCCTCACAGAGTCCTTAATATGAGTTTTAGCAAAATTAGTAAATAAACAATGTGGAGCAAGTTTGAAGAGAGAGAGAGAATATCATCCATTTAAGGTTTTCAAGGGATGTTGGGCCTGCATGTTTTCGTAAAGAAACATCTGTCAATGTTTGTGAACCCACCAGGGTACCCAGGATTCACTTGTTTAATGTTGGAAGAGATTGTAGAGTCAAAAGCCCCCAGGCAAATTGAGCTGGGCTGGTTGCCCTTGGGGAAAACAGGAATTTAGCTGAATGCCTGATGCCATTTTGATGCCAACTAATAGAACTTCTTGATACTAATGAGACCCCACCATTTCAGAGCAGTTACATTAATTGGCATTAATCAAAAACTCTTCTGGAAAGTTCGCCCATTCTTCTAGGGTGTCAGTCAGGAACTGCTGTGTTTGAGTGCCCTCTGACAACTAGCAAATGCATTGTTTTCAGGGTCCTGAGCCCTCTTGGAAGTTTAGCAAATTCCTGCTCACCTTTGTGCCACCCAGCCTATCTTTCAGTGGTACGTGAAACACCTGGTATTCCTATTTTCTGTATTAGCAATGGAAGAATGGAACCCAAAATGCCATTTTTTATGCTATAATTGCCTTGGAAATTTTCATGGTGGAGATGTCCAGATGCTAACAGTTCTTTCAACCATTCCAACTGAGCTACCTGATCCACTCAGGCAAAAGGGAACGATTCTTCATCCCAGACAAAGCTTCGTGTTGCCGGCTGCCCTGACAGTCTGTGTGCTAGTCCCAATGGTTGTTGGAAACCAAACGGCACAATGGCCAATTTCACAGATCATTATCTAAGAACTAGTGGGACCTCAAGAATTTAGTTGTGGGTAAGGATACAAACCTTGTATATGTATCTAAATTTGACAAAGTTACTGACATTGGGAGTTGTTGAGTTTTGGTCAGAATTACCTGGAAGGAAATAAGAGCTGGCCTTTGCTATATAACATTACTTGTGGTAGTAATTAGGGTAGCTTTACTGTTTGCTTAGGAATTTTCCAAGGCCTATTTGAAGGTAGGAACATGATTTTGCAGGGTCCCTGCCAGCTCTATGATTTTATGAGTCTACAATCAGGCAGAATAACATGCATAACTAGCCTCCCTAGAAGATGACCAATCATTCCAGTTTGGCTAGACCAGTATAAAGAGCTCCTTTTCCTGTTGGTTTTCCCCACACAGTTTGGACTAAGATAAGCACAGCCATGGCAGCTGTGCAGATGAAGTCTGACTGCAGGTAAGAAGTCACCAGACTCTATATAGCTGAACCTTAAAGAACGGTGCTATTCAGTTCAAATTCTGGGAGGTGTGAGGGTTCTTGTTTCACAGTGGCTGGTTTACCCATATCCAACCATGGCAGGAGAACCTTCAGCCAAGTTAAAAACCCACTCAGCCCCCATGGGATTTGAGTTTAGCTCTTTTAAAACAACATTTTGATGAGTTGTGTGTAAATGAATCAAAAACATATGGATTCAATTTCCCTTGAAGTGTACGTGGGTTTAAAAATTAAGGGGGAAAAATGTGCGGAGCTTGGGCATGTACCAAAGGCAAAATGTTTAAAAAAATAATGTAAGATGCTTAGCAGAACAGAAAGCATGCCTTCCTTCTTGAAGTAGAGCAATTGCAGCAGGCTAAGAGGGGAGCCCTGCGACTTCGCAGTTAGCAAATACGCATGGGGCCTGGCCCTCCAAGGCTTGCTGCTGTCCTGCTAGGAGCCCCCTGCCACATCCTGGGACCTTGTGGACAACCCCTAGCAAATGAAAAGCAGACATCATCCACCAGGGAGGCCAAATCATATCTGGGCTGAAAATTAAATCGCCAGGCAAATGCAACAGATTTTCAAACAAGGTACTTGCACTCTCTCTTCAACTTAATTTAATTCTAAATGGAGGAAAGTCTGCAGACTGAGATACTAACTGAAGCTGAGAAATCTAAATCATGGATTCTGTCCTCTGAGCCCTGAGGATCCTCAGGGCCAGAGGCAGTGAGCATCACTGAAGGAGATTGTTCTGGGCTGAAATTTTGCCATGGGAGAGCCCAGGGTCTCAAACTCCTTCATTTGTGAAACATTTACCAAGTACCTACTGTGTACCAGGCACTGTTCGCAGAATCAGAAATATAAAAACACGTGAGACACTGTGGCTACCTTCAAACAGATTCCAGTTTCTAATAGAAGGGCATAGACGTATTTGCAAATGACTGCAGCTGAGCGGTCTGGTTACTAAGACAGAAGGATATACCATCCACAGTGAGCATAACACAGGAGGGGGATGGACAACTCTACTTGGAAGGGGAGAGATGAGGGAAGGAAGTTATTTTAATCATCTCCTATTCACCCAGTTGGTGAGGGAGAGATTCTTCCCTGAGGTTATGAAGATGGCTGAATACACAGCACCTGGCACTGGACAGGTGCGATTGACAGCAGTTTATTAGTCAAACAACTCACAGCCCAGGGGAGGACACTGTGTGCCATGCAGGGTCACATGGGGCTTGCACTCAGAGTAAAGTGGACCACCTGGAACCGTGAGGGGCTTTGTAGTATCAAGAGGGCATGGTTCCCCCTGGTTCACACAGGAGGATGTCATTGGTTTGTTTGGATAATTCTGGGGCCGGCAGGGAATTGAAACCCACGACTCAAGGAGAAGCAGAAACTGCACTTGATTTCCTTGATAAGGTATGTTGTTTGGCTAGACAGGGCCTTATTTGCAGGAGCAGAGCAGGACAGGGACTTGGGGTTAGGCCATTTGAGGCCAGCCCCATCTCACCAGATGTCAAAGCAGCACGTAACACTGGAGATTAATTTGGGGCCTTACACTGCACTGAAACTTGAAACAAACTTTGAAAAATAAGTGAGTGAGCTTTCACTATATAGCTAAGCAAGGACGTGTTGGCCAAACAGAAGAATAAGACAAACAAGAGCAAGAGCTCCAAGGCATAAAGCAGCCTGGAAAATTCGTAAAATATTTTGAAAAAAAAATTAACAATTTCTTTTCACAGATACAGAAAAAAAGAAACCACAATCTGTCTTAAAGTATTTAAACATAGGAGACATTAATGTAATGTAATGTATATTTCTATCCAATAGAAATATAATGTGAGCCACTTATGTCATTTTAAGCTTTCTAGTAGCCACATTAAACAAAAAAGTAAAAAGAAATAAGTGAAATTAATTTTAATGATATACTTTATTTAACCCAATATATCCAAATTATTACTATTTCAACATGTAACAACAATATAAAAGATATTAACGAGATATTTGTGTTCTTTTTTTCATACCAACCCTTTGAAATCCAATATATATACCTCGATTTGGACTAGCCACACAGAGTGCTCAGTGCTCACATTTAGCTGATGGCTGCCACATTGGACAACACACATTTAGAGCATCTTGAATTGACTTAAATTTGGAACAAAATGCTATAAAGTTTTTTCTTCTGTAACTCAGCTGTTAAAATAGAAAGTGCTCACAATTACGTGTAAATTTTGAGATGATAGGTGGAAAATACCTGACATTTGTATTGTTACTGCCACCAAACTTTTTACTGCAACAATGACAGATATTACTCATAGATCCCAACACACTTTCCCACTAAGTCTGCAGGCAGCTCCTCTCCAAGGATTGCAGCTGGCATATGAGTACAAACACTGTCCCTTTCCTAGATATATACACACTGCTGTAAGACGACAATGGATAAACAAATCTTAAGTCTCCATTCCAGACTGCACTATAAACACTAGATCTAAGGACACTAGAAATATAATGCAAAGAGAAGCTATTGAGAGTAGTTTAAAAAAAAAAAAAAAAACCTCTTCAATCAGTATCATTTATTAGATCTTCTAGATGACAATTGTAATTTGGCCAGCTGACCAAATGACTACATATTATATACCCAAAGTT